AACCAGAAGTTGCTAGGAAACGCTGTAGCTTCTCAGGACACAATTGAAGGGGCATGATTGCTTCCTGCCGAGAGGTACAGAAACCTAACACCATTGGTGACATGCACACTATTGTTATGAAGTCAAGGTTTACAGCACACCTACTCTGCAGAGCCCTACGGCGTGTGGTGGTGCACCCCTGTAATCCCAGCTTCTTGGGAGGCTGAAGCAGGAGGATGGCCCAGGACTTGGAGTGCCAGCCTGGACAACATAGTGAAACCTTTGTCTTACAATTAATTAACTAATAATTAAAATTCACTATGCATATTCCTGCTTAACTATAATAGGTTTAAATGCATGGCTTAATTTGGACTCCCTCAAGTTTTTCCAATCCTACCCTTGTGTCTCCTTCTTCAATTACTCCACAAGCAGATCATCTCACCTGCTTTCACCTAACAGTCACCAAGAAAACCATCTTGTATGTATTTAAGTTGCTAATCGCTCAAAGAATTATTCCATTACTGATCATGTTAAACCTCCGAAAATTTCTACATGCGTTGGAGTTATTGTTTTCAAAATTCTGCTGCTTCTTTGAAAGACAACCTCGTGGTTTGTGCACACATTAAATCAGCCCTCGGAACTCTCTGTGAGTGGTCGCCCTGGAAGCAGCTGCTGTCACCTTCTCCATCCTCAAGATCTCCTGCCCCGGGAAGCAGCCATTGCCCTTTTACTCTTTCCCCTCTTTGCAGCTGCACTGGAGGCTCAGGAATAACTGCTGGGACAAGAAACCTCACCAATAGCAACTTAAGGACTGCAGAATGTCTTCTCTATAAACACGGACTTTGGAGTGCCGGTCCAAGCACTTTGTTTCTGCTCTACCCCACCTTAGCTGTTTTATCCTCTGGACTGATGCCTCAGGGTGTCGTGGAAGCAGCCACTCCAGGTATCACATCCTTTCACCAGAGTCCCAAGTACAGGAGAAGGGAAGCTTTAATAGAATCTGTCTTCATTAGCACTGGCTTTTCATTGGCAGTGAAATTCTACTGTCTTCCCCTGACATCTCATTTGCCAGAACTTCTCGGGTACATGCTCCAGGACTACTCACTGGTTGTGTTCCCATAGAGGCTGAACCCTTTCCTGAGCCACCGAGGTTGCACTAAATCAAGGGCTCAATCCCCCACCCACACACTGTCAGGCTTCTGCCTGCAGGGAGAGAAAGGGTGGGAAATGGCATCAGTTAAAGACCACAGTTCTGCCATGCATGGGTCTCCACACGAGATGGCCAAGTCCCCACGAAAGAGAGATCCCTCCTACCTGGAGGTCAAAAGAGCTCATCTATGTCCCGGACAGAAATGGCCATCTATGCTTAAGGCCAGGCCACTGCTTGCTCTGCTTCAGGACACAGATCATCAGTCTCTTTTCAACACAGCATGGCCCACTACTACAAACACAAGCTATGCTTAGTGCTCTAGAGCTGGGGGGCTTCTGAGGCCACCCATCGCGAGAACTCTGCCAAGACACACAGCGTGGCAACAGCAGCAGGGCCACACAGCGTTGTGGTGTCCAAGCCTCTGTCAGCTCCCGATCCTTGAGAGGTCGGGGCTGCTGGCTCCTCACCACCCTTCCTGCTGGGGATCTAAATCTGCTAGAAAATACAGTAAAACCTGCCAAATGTATGGACGCCAACATCAACTTTATTCAGAGTCCTCTGGAAATAACCTGATGAGAAACTAAGTGCGACCTCTTACCTCTCTCACTCTAAGTCAAAAGCCATGGGAAGACTTTCTCCTTCAGCTCATAGGGAAGTAATCAGCACCACACCATCCTGCCTGATGTATGCAACTATAATGCACACAAGCAGTGTTTGCCAGGCACTGGATAAGACCCAGTATGAGATACAACCCCACAAGCAAGAGACAGTCATGAGCTAACTCCTTGGCCACCCAGCTCTCAGCCTGGGGACTATTTCTGGAGTGCAGTTCAGGGACCTAGAATCCATGCCAGCTCTGTGAGCTGTGGAAGCGGAGATCAGAGTCTGGATCCATTAAAGAAACTAGAATCTCCAGGCCAGGGCACCCTGGCACATTCAGGGCTGTGGAGGGGTGAGAGTTGAAAGTCCACCTGGGGGTGCCCTGTAAATCTCTGCCCAATGTTTGGGCTGCATATGCTTGGGAAGAAGCTACTGAGGCTTTGTAGAAAGCAGTTACTATAGGGCGGAGAGGGCAGCAGTTAGCAAGGTGGGCATCCAGCTAAGATGTCATAAGAAATGCTTATTCCTTAAGACTGCCCTTATGACCCCTTAGGAATAAGCAATGTCCTAGAGTATGGTCTACTCTGAACTTAACAAAGCCAAGAACCAAGACCTAACAAAACTCACAGCACAGACCAACCTGGAAGCTGAATTCCACCAAGTGAGGAACACTGGGAGACTACGTTGGGCTTTCCACAGATCCGTGCTAACCAAGTGTGAAGCCAAACCTACACGAGGTCAAGGAAACAAATCCACCTGCTGGCATACATAAACAACATTATGCCACAGAACTCAGAAAGTTTATGACATAGAATCTGCAGTGTTCAATGGAAAATCAAGGATTGTTTGATATACAAAAGACATAAAAATAGGAACCAAGGAAAGAAACAATCAGTACAAACTGACCCTGAGATGGTCCAGGTATTGTAATTAGAAAGCAGCTATTTTAAAGCAGCTATAATATATCCAAGCCAATTCAAAGAAATAAACAAAAATGGGACCTACATGAGTTAACACATAGGGAAACTCCTAGGAGAAGTAAAAAAACTGTGAAAAGAAAAAAATGCAAATTCTAGAAATGAAAAGTCAAATAACTTAAATTTGAAAATCCATTGGATAAGAATGATAACAGGATGAAGATGAAGATGGAAAAAAATAGGGAACATGAAGATAAATAGAAATTCCTAACTTTGAATATCAAGAGAAAAGTAGGAAGAAAATGAACCAGAGCTTCAAAGCCCTGGTTGATAATGTGGAATGACCTAACACAGGTATAACTGAAGTCTCAGTATAAACAGAAAAAATATTTCAGAAATAATAACAACCAAAGATTTCCCAAAAGTCATCCAAAACATTAGCTGAAAAAGCTCAGAGAGTCCTAAGACAGATAAAAAAGAAAATCACATCTAGATGTACCATAGTCAAACTTCTGAGAACCAAGATAAAGAGAAAAATCTTAAAAGTAGACCGTAGTGAGTGGGGATACCATACTGCAAGACTTAGAAGTCTGACCTGCAGTTATTTCTCTGGAAAGTAAAGTATAAGAATAACAAGACTGTGGCTTTGGTAACTTGTGGATAGGATGAGTTGTGTCCTTCATAATTAATTTAGACAAGAAAATGTAACAAGTGAATGGGAAAAATTTTCAAAAGGTATGGAAAAATATGTAGTAATATGGTCATGCCTTAAATGATTATAGCATCTTACAGGGTAAGTTATTCTTTCACATGAGGAATTATCTCATACAAGAAAGCAGAAGTTATTATTTCCCCAAAAAGTATCACATAAAGCATTTTCAAAATATAATGTTCCACGTGTAGTCTTATATTAAGAAAAAGAAATATATAAGATAAATGAAAAGAGAAGTTTTAGGAAGCCCCAAAGGGTAAAATTACATCAAAACCAAAAGAGTTACTTATAAAACCCCATTTGTGGGACTTTCTGTGATCATAATAAAGCAGATAATAATTTTTAAACAATGGATCTTCTGCACTTTGAACAATATTTAAACAGATCTTGGGATAGTGCTGAGCAAGGAAAAACTTGCCTTTTGTGTTGTCATAAGAGAAAAAAAGAAAAATAATAATTCACTGGTTTCTTTGCCATTTTAGATTTCTTATTATCCAGAATGATTAATGGTTAGAAGTTCCATAAATAAATACAAACCTTTTTTATTTTCTTAGTCTACACAAAATTCCCCCCCTCCCAGAGAAGCACAATTGTCAGGGCATTCAGCATTTTAACAAAATTCCAGTAGGAGGCTACTTTGCCCCCAGCAGTTCTGGGCAGTGGGGCTACTGAGCACGGGCCATTGGGAGCCCGGGCACTGCAGGACGTCAGCAACACGTGCACTCATCCCCACCCAGCGACAGCAAGGAAATCTGTCTCCAGATCCTGCCAAACGTGCCCCTCAGGGCATAATTCCCATCTGGGGGGGTCCCTGAGATGTGAAGTCATAAACAGGCCTTTCTCCCTACCAATTCATTCTTTAAAAAAAAAAAAATGGCTTATAATTTATACAGAAAACAACCATGTCTTCTAATAAAATATCTGATGTTCAATTTTGGAAGGACTTTCCTTCATGTAGAGCAAAACACTCCAATTTCAGAGCATGTCAGATTTTATCACTGGGTTGAATTTAGGTTTTCTTTCTGGTTACTTCATAAGTTCTGATTTTTGCTTTCAAATAAAGCCGACTTTTTCCTTGCTGGGATGCTTCATCTGTCATTCCTTCACCTATGAGAGGCAGGCAAATCAGCTCAACAGAGCCGGCACTGCTCTTGTTAAAGCAAGCGGCACTATTTCTAAGTCATGCATGAGGAGCACAATGCATTTTTCACCCAGGCGATCTGGGATACGGTCAAGGAATTTTTAAACGCAAAAAGATACATGAAACTGCAGATTGTTCTTCGCAAAATTCAACTTTCAGAGAAAACAAAACCTTCTTGCAACTGATATCTCAATCCAGACATCATTCTTGTCAGTTTAAAAGTGTTACTCGATGTTAAACGAGACTGCTGACCAAGTGCAATCAATCCAAAGTTTTAAAAAGAAAACACTGTCCTGTCTGCAGGTTTTGATGATTAATCTGGTGCAGACAGAATCACCAGATTCCTAGAAGCAAGGTACCACTGGCCCTCCTCCCAGGGAAAAAGGAAATTCCCAAATCTGCCATGTATGTTTGTGCATGGAACTTTCTGCCCAGGAGAACACAGGACCAGCACAAGGACAGACCCCCTATCCCGCCCCATGCGGGTCCAGCCCGACTCACCGATGTGATAAAGGCCGATCCAGTCACTGGGATCCACCTCCTCCTTGATGTCCCAGAAGATGATGAGGTCCTGGGCTTGGCCGAGTGTGTACTCATACATGCTGGCTGTGAGGCTGGAGCGGCTCTCAGAAGTCACCAGGTCCGTGTCGCTGTTGGCGCGTGGCAGGGTCATGTTCTCAGGCAGGGAGCCCTGAGCAGCCAGGCTCTGCAGGTTCTCGGGGCTCAGTGTGTACCGCATCTGGGGGTTTCGACGCCGAACAAACAGCAGATGCTCCCGGGCTGAGCTAGCCATGCTGCCTGCCTCCTGGGGCCGGCCTCCTACAGAGCTGCAAGAGAGACAGCACAAGCCTCAGTGGTGGGACCAGAAGCAGCAGCCGAAGCTGCCCGGACACAGAGCTCAGAGGAGTCGGGTTAAAGCCTGGCCGTGTAATAATCCTCTGCCACCGAAATAAAACCTATTATTCTACTGTCAAACGATGGTGTCAGAAATAACTTCTGAGGTCACCAATGGCAAAGGCTGTCCCTCACCTGTGGCCTGATTTCCCCTGACAACTTTCTCCCAGCAATCAGGAAGGAGGGGACTTCACCAGCCCTTTCCCAAACCACACCCCCGCAGAACATCGCCCTCCTCTCCTTTTCCATCCCACTCACGTTATTTATTTCCTTCTGCAGCTAAAGTTTAAAACCTCAAGGTAGAACTTTTTGAGGCATGCTGCAATGGTTGAATGTATCACCGTGAGTGCAAGTTCACCTGCTCAGGCCCCTTAGCAGAAGAAGGAAACTAACAGAAGTCCTCCTTCAGAGCTTGCTCAAAGGTCACCTCCTCACTGCAATCCAGGAGCGCCAGAGTTAAGACTCTACCCCTCCAGACGTCCCCATCCCTCCCACCTAGCTGTAGCGATTACTATGATCCAAGGTGTCTTGGTTACTTTTTTCCCATTGCTGGGACAAAATACCTGACACCCAAAATTAAGGAAGGAAAGGTTTATTTTGCTTACAGTTTGTGGAGGTTTCAGTCCATACTTGGCAGATTACAAGGCAGAGTGGCACATGGAGGAGAGCTACAGCTCATGGCCACAGAAACACAGCAAAAGCAACAAGCACACAGACAAGGGAGGAAATGGCCAGAAGCACAAAAGCCAGGAATGGCCCCAAGCAGCCTCTTCCTCTTCCTTACACATGCAAACTATTCACCCCAGGGCGGGTGCAGCTCTCACACCCATAATCAATCAAACTCTAAAAGCCTGCCCCATGACCCCATGAGGCTTTGGGGAGACACCCAGACACAAACCTTAACATTCCACCCCTGGCCCCCCAAAGACTCATGCCCATCCCTTCATACAAACAGCATTTAGTCCATCCACAAGAGTTGTCAAAGTCCGAACAGTTTCAGCATTGCTGACGAGTCCACGTCCCAAGTCTCCCCCAAAATGTAAAGCAAACTCTTAGCTGTGACGCCCTGTACAAATGAAAAGTTAAACACTCCCAACATTCAATGGCACAAAATAAGCAGTACCATTCCAAAAGGTACAAACAGGGGGACACAGAGCATTGGGACCAAAGCAAGTCCAAAATCCAGAAGGGCTAACATTATGTCCTGTAGTTCCATGACCAGCATCTGAAGCAAACTGTGGCACATTGTGAGCTCCAAAGGGCTTGCATGAGTCCACCCCTATGGCACTTCTGGTGGTTACAGCTTCCATGGCATCTCTCTTAGGCCCGCTTTGCTCCCTCCTTGCAGCTTTCCTCAGATGATCCACAGTCCTGGCTTTTCCAAACTTCCGAGGTCTCCAGTGCACCTTTTGCTTCACACTCACAGCCTCACACACTGCCCTCTCAGGGGCACACTGCCTGGCCTCCCAGGCTTTCTGAAGTCTGGGTGGAAGCCTCTTTAACCTCAGAACTCGTGCATTCTCCATGCACTTAAAGCCAGGGCCACGTGGATGATGCCAAGGTCTGCTGCCACTTGGAGCAGTAGCCAAGATTTCCTCTCTCTTGGCCATAGGGGTCGAGTGCCTGGATCACTGGGCACTCTGAATCCAATTCTGAGGAACAGATCCTCTATGCTGTCGCCATTCTGGAACCTGGTGCGGCCGCTGCCGCCATTCTGGAACATGGCGTTCAGCAGCTTTCTTCTCAAAGCAAGGTCTTTCACCTTTGCAGTTTTGAGGCTGCAAAGGGTGGAGACTTGCTGCTTCTTGTGATGCCCTCAGGCCATCTTTTCTATTCTCCTGTTCCTTCTCAGGATTAGAGATCTCCTCAGCCTTATCTTTGCCGTCCACAGCATTACTGGAGCTTCCTTTCTGGTCAAACTCACAACATTTTAAATCACCCTGCTTGGCTCTTTGTTCTTGATTCTCAATATAAATCTGGCTAAAAGCTCCCAACAATAGCCATGCCATTGCCCCAACCTTTGACTGCCTTGAAATTTCTTTTGCCAGATTAACTAGTTCATTGCCACCCTTAATCTCAGTCTTAGGCAAAGTCTCTGGACATGAGCAAAATGCAGACAAACTTTCTGCCAAGCCATAACACACATCGTCTGGAGTCCAACGACCAATGCAGTCCTTCTTCCCAGCAGAAACCTCCCAAACCTGATCTTTACCGGCACGATTTCTATCAGCCTTCTGGGCTTCTGAGCTCTGCCTAGAATCTCCCAGACAGAACAGCCGAAGGTGTTCTAGTGCTTCTCTTTCAGGCGACATCTCTGAACCTTTCCAAACTCTTCCCACAAGCCATTTCCCAAGGCTCTTGAACCACATGGTCAGGTATAGTCACAGCAACGACCCCACTCCTCTGGTACCAAATTCTGTCTTGGTTACTTTTTTCTCGTTGCTGGGA